AGTCCCAGACATCAGATATGGAGCTACAGATTTTATACTATTGGGGTTTGGTTTTGCTTTGGTCCTGTATTTTCTCACTATGCCTCTATTCTACCCTCGTGGAATGGTCATATAAATCCTGTGTCATTATATATTGGAAATACGTCATTTGCTTTTTGATTTTAAAGGTTACAATTAAGTAACCTCGAGTCTCAGAAGAGACTTAAGACTTGAAGTTGGGACTATATAAATTTTGCTTTATGATATTGCCATAAGCCTATTTGGCCAGGGAATGGAATGGAATGGTTTGAATGAGAATGCCACCCTTTCTCATAAGCAAAAAGAAGAGTATACAAAGAGGGCTGGCAAGATGGTTCAGTGAGTAAAGGCACTTCCTATCAAGCCTGACAACCTAAGTTTTATCCTCAGGACCAACACAGCTGGAAAGAGAGAACAATTTTTTTTTTTTTTGAGAGAGAGCAATTCTTGAAAGCTGTCCTCTGACTCACACATGAATAAAAAAATAAATTAACTAATTTTTAAAAAGAATGTAACTAAGACTGTCTCTGACATGAACTTAGTAGCTGGCTCTTTGACCTCCCTCCCTACCCCCTAAGGGAAGAAGAGCCTTGCTAGGCCACAGAGGAGGACATTGCAAACAGTCCTGATGAGACCTGATAAACTAGGGTCAGATGGAAGGGGAGGAGGACCTCCACTATCAGTGGACTAAGAGAGGGGCAGGGAGGAGATGAGGGAGGGAGGAGATGAGGGAGGGAGGACATGAGGGAGGGAGGGTGAGATTGGGAAGGAATGAGGGAGGGGGCTACATCTGGGATACAAAGTAAATACCCTGTAATTAATATAAAAAAATAAAAATTATAAAAAAAGAATGTAACTAAGTGACTAAAACCCAAACAATCCAATTAAAAATTAGACAGAGGGTTAATACAGCCATTTCTCCCAAAAGGATGTCCAAAAACAATGAACTGTAAAAAGATCATAGACATTAGGGAAATACAGAGCAAAGCCACAATTGAATACCCCTTTACATTCATAAAAATGGCTATTATCAAAGACAAAACAGAAAATATTCAGTGTTGGTGAGGATACTAGGAAAGCACAATCCTTGTGTATTCATTGATAGTAAAAATATAAAAAGGTAGCTGGGTGATGGTGGTGAATGTCTGTAATCCCAGCACTTGGGAGGCAGAGGCAGGCAGATCTCTGTGAGTTCGAGGCCAGCCTGGTCTACAAGAGTGAGCTTTAGGACAGCAAGACAACACAAAGAAAGCCTGTCCTGAAAAATGCACAACACAACAACAACAACAAAACAAAAACAAAAACAAAAACAAAAAAGAATATAAAAAGGTATGTAAGTTCCTTTAAATAAGTAAACAGAATCACTGTATGATCCTGCAATTCTAATTCGGGTATAAACTCAAAGACATGAAAGCTAGCCCAGCATAAGGACCTGAGTTTGCTCAAATTCAACAATCCCTACTGCTCACCTTCACTTCTTTTTTCTATAAATTCTGGCTCAGTTGCAATCACTAGTTAATTATAAGAAGATAAACCTATATTATAAATGACCAGGCCACCAAGCCTGATGACCTGAGAACTGAGTCAGTTGTTAAATGATCTCCATACATGCACTGTGGCTCGTGTGAGTGTGCAGAAAGTAAATAAATATAAGTTTAAAATTTGTTTTAATTATGGAAAGCAAGAATTCAATTATCTTTTAGCCTTGGCCATCCAACACTTCTTGTAATCTAAGCGTACATAAATAGGTAAGCATTCTACCACAAGTATTAACCCTGGAAAGAAGAAAATTTTTCACACATGTACTATCCATATTATAACATATATAATCCTTGAAAACATGCTAAGTAAAATAAGCCAGTCACAAATGGACAAATTATGTGATTCTATTATAACAGTCAAATTCACAGACATAGGAGTAAACAGTTGTTACTACAGATAATGAGAAGAAAATATGGATTTGGCAGTAAATTTTACAATGTAAAATTAAAAAGGTCAGTTTCAGATAATGAAAGTTTCTGGAGATGATTGTGTTGACAGTTACAAATTAAAATAAATTTGCCAACATTGTGAAAAAATGTTTTTGTTGTTATTTTTTGTTTTTTTTGAGATTGTGTGTAGCTTTGGCTGTCCTGATACTCACTCACTCTGTAGACCTGGCTGGCCTCAAACTCAAAAGCTCCATCTACCTTTGCCTCCCAAGTGCTGGGATTACAGGCGTGCACCACCACGCCATCAAAAAAATATATTTTTTTTAAAGTGGTAAATTCAATGTATGTTTTATTCTATGAAAAAAAAGAGTGAAGGATTCTTAAGGAGTGAAACTGATGCGCCACAGTGGGTCATCCATAGAGCTGGCCTTTGGCTGAAGGCCTTTCTCTCCGGCTGGTCAGCTTTCCACCAGCAAGCATCCTGTCATCTCCTATCACCCTGCTTCACAGTGCGTCAAATGCCAATTATGAGCAATATTCTTATTCCTTTATATGTTCATTGTCTATACTTCCTTCCCCCTCTGAAGTACAATCTATTTGAAGATATACAGATTTCTGGCTCTTAAGCTTTTTTTTTAATATCACTGCAAGTGGTACAAACATTAGCAGGAATTCAGTGAATATCCGTATCTGTAAACCACTTAATATATCTCAGGAACTATGCTATTTTTTAATATAAACTCAATTCTTAAATTATTACATGTAATACTATTTTCATTTTTCCTAAAATATTTCATAAATACTCAATACAGCTATACTGTGTGGTACTAATCCATGAGAATAAGAATCTAATACTTTATCACATACTACTAATATAACAATAAATTTTGTTGATGTTATACTCATTTTTTTATTTACTCAAGTTTGTATGCCTAATTCTAAAAAGAAACCAATCAAATAAAAGACATCTAACAAAAAGGTATCACAAAGAATGGAAAAGAAAATTAGAAATGTTTAGCCCAAATAAGAACTGCCTGGTGGTGGAGTAAGGGCAGAGACACAACAGGATAGCAAAACAATAGAATAAGGCAGTAATCAGTATCATGGATTTACGAGTTAGATAGCTACTTTCTTCCTCTTCCAACAGTATCACTTGAAGTAAGTTACTTAACCTCTCTCTGATTTTTCTAAAATTAATTGTAAATATTAATAAAAGTATTTAACATAGTATAGGGCACAGAATAAGAATAAGCACAAATGTTTTTGCTTTTTATTAATCAATTTTTAAGTATTCAAAGAGTTTGAAGAGTCATGTGTGTGTGGCTAAAGCAATCCATCATGACTATAAATAGACATATTCATTGATTCAAATGTGGCAAAGTCCCAAACATATAAAGACAAACTGTTGCTTATGTTGCATAATTGATAAACAAAAATGATCAGTTTCTCTAGGTCTACATACTACTTACTTCTTTGCTTAGCCTCCTATACTGTACAAGTGAAGGTACACTAATAGTATCTGGAGATAGAATTCTAGTCCTGAGCCGATGGCCATCGTGGCCTACACCTTTAATCCTAGCACCTGGGAAAGAGAGGCAGGAGGCTCTCTGCGAGTTTAAGGCCAGCTTGGTCTACAAAGCTCAAAACAAAACCAAATCAAACCAAACAACAACAACAAAACAAAAAAACCAAACCCCAAACCAAAAAGATTTCTTGTGCGGCACTGGTAGCATGAGCAGCTGCGCGGTCTGGAGTAAGTCATATAAGGAAGACAGACAAGAGAACAGTTTAGTCGGTGTTTCCATAGTTCCAAGACTCGTCTTATAAACACAAACTTAACTTTCCCACCAAATAATAAAGACTTAATTCATCCTTTAAAAAGCAATTAAATTGCTAAATTAGAAGATTTAGTTAGAAGTTGTTCAAACCATGCTTTAAAATCTCTGGTATTGGAAGCCAAATGCTACCTTGATCTTTGGTTTATTTTGTTTGTTTGTTTATATTGAGACAATCTCATTTTGTAGCCTAGCTGTCCTGGAACTCACTGCTGTAGTCCAGGTTGACCTCAAATTCGAAGACCTCTGTCTGCCCTTGCTTTGCAAAGGCTGGGACTGAAGGCGTGCACCACCATGCCTGGCTCTAGTCTTTTATGACTTAGGGTTGTCTTTGTGCATGGTTCAAGCTGAGCTAGAGTTTATGGAGAAAGGCAGTGGAAAGTGTGGCAAGCACTGTTGGTTGTACAACCTAGCTACCTACACTCCACAATAGCTTGCTTGTTAACAATGGATTGCCTTTCAGAAGGAAACTAAGGACAAGAAGGGTTATCTGTGATTACATAGTACCTACTGTCTCTCAGGTTTAAGAACAATGGCTACCCACAGATAGATAACCCTCACTCAAGGCTGATACAACTCCCAAGGAACCATTAAGCAGTAAGACTGAACAATGTAGGACCATTCCAAGACTATAAATTGTATTGATGAGAAAGCAGAAACCAACTCTGGGGAACTTATTCTGAAAAAAATTTTACAAAACCATACCAATATGGTAACTCATTCTGCTGACTATCAAAACAGTATGTTTTCTCTTTCTGTCCAACAGTTATTTTTTTTTTAATTTAAGCAATATTTTGAAGTTTATAGGAGACATCCCTCTCAATTTTGACATTTTTTTTCAAGTAAAACTAACATATATTGCAACAAGTAAAAGAGAACAAGACTAAGAAAAAAAAAAGAGCAAAGCTATTTCTTCCAAGATGCTTCTAATTCTGCTCTCTAATATTACTAAAACTACCACTATGAAACATTTCTATCGTTCTTATCCCAAAATCACTATAAAGTGATACTCAAAAACTTACCTCCAGCCGGGTGAGGTGGCGCATGCCTTTGATCACAGCACTCAGGGAGGCAGAGTCAGGTGGACTGTTGTGGGGTTTGAGGCCAGCCTGGTCTACAAAGGGAGTCCAAGGTAATCAAGACTTCACACAGAGAAACCCTATCTCAAAAAACTAAAAACCAAACCAAATCAAACCAAACCAAAGCAAAACCTTACCTCCAAATATATTGATGGTGGATTATGCTCCCCACCAAATTTGTCCAACAGTGCCTCTATATGTTCCTGTGTCAACTTAATCATTTGCTTGATATTCCACACCTAAAAAGTAAAGGAATTTAAATAAAGATCATTTAGCATATGAATTAAAAATATTTTAATGTGGACAAACAGAATGCAGTAACTATCCGTAGTCTCAAAATTTTAGACAGTTCAGTGGAGCTTATAAGTATTAATAACTGTTAGCCTTCTTTGTATACTAATAATCTATCCTTACCCATAATAGATTCAAATAGTAGCCCAGTATTCAGAATAAACAATCAAAACTGGCAATTACTATATTAAGTGAAATAAGCCGGATTCAGAAACACAAATACCACATTTTCTTACTGTAGAATCTACATTTAAAATTCTGTATGTATATTACATACATATACAAACAATAAATCATGAAAACCTATCCTCCATCAAATTTGGGGCTTCCCACCAGAAAGCAAGTGCTTTTTAGAGCTTGTTACTGTGATGGTTAATCTTCAGTGTGAACTTGGTGGGATTTTTAAATTATTTTTATGAAAGAATATATTGGCTGGGTGTGGAGCTACACGCCTGTAATCCCAGCAGGTGGGGGCGCAGGAGCAGGCGGAGGCGGGCAGATCTCTGTGAGGCCAGTGTGACTGGCTGCCTTATGCTCCTGACACCTGGTCTTCCTGCAGCCACAGCTCCCACCAGTAATGGAGCCTATCTTCTTTTAAACTGTAAGCCATAGAAAATTCTCTTCCCTTAAAGAAAAGTAACTAAATATTCGGAATCTTTTCCTGTTCCCTTTTTACTCATGTATAGGACATACATAAAACATATGCAAATAAATGTCTATTTTTAGATCCCTTCCACATCATTACATGTATTTTTATGTCCTCCCTAAAAATTGTATAAAAATTTTCAATCACTTTTATTCATGTGGCATGTATATGTGTGTACATACATGTAGGTGGCTACATTTAGAGGTCAGAAGACAACTTGTGGAAGTCAGTTCTCTTTTTCCACCATGTGGATTTAAGGGATCAAAATCAGGTTATCAGGCTTGAAAGCCAGTGACTTTACCCATTGGGCTATCTTGTCATCCCTCAATTCATGAATTTTTTATAGCACTACTAATTTCAATAAAAACAAATTTCAATGGTTTAATGGACATTGACAATTGTAAGAAATTTTAAGACAGGCAAATCCTTGAGTATTGCTGGTCAACCAGTCTAGTGTAATTGCAGAGGTCCAGAGTCCAATGAGAGACTTTGTCTCAAAAACCAAGGCAGAATGAACAATACAGGTCAGTGAGTAAAATCACTTGTGGCCCACGCCTAACATCCTATTCTGTCAAGGGCACAAGGTTCTCATGTTCACAGACAGCACTAGGGAAACCAGGAATGTTAAACACAGGCTCTTCTCTTTACCAGAAGAAGTTTATACCTGCTTCTGCACAGAAAGCTGGGAATGAATGTCATTAACAACATGGTGACCTTTGCTACCTATACGGCTAGGCCTCACCCAAATCCCCTAGACTGTTATGTTTATTCCAGACTCCTGATCATTGCTTTTCAGTCAGTAGAACCCATTCTTATGAAAGAGGTCACAGGAACTTTGCAAAAGACATGTACTTTGCAAAAAGTTTCAATGTAATCATGCCCTAAGCTTTAGTGTGATAACTGTCACCAGAAAACCTTTTCCAAAGTTGTACTGTGTTTAAATATGTCAAAAACAAATTGTTTGGAGTCACACTCTTTGAGCCAACATAGGCTAGCTAACTAAGTCATGTTGAAGCAGATTTCATTTTACCTCACTCACTCAGATCCTAACTCTGCAGGGACTCCCACACCCTCAACCCTGGATCATACAGTGCAAGATCAGCTGTCTGACAGTTGTCCTGTGACCTCCACTTACTAGCACCACGGCACATGTGCATCTGTACCCATACACACATGTCACTCCCACGAATAATAAAACACACAATAAAAAGAGCATGCAAAATTGCTCAACAAGTGATGGTACTTTCTGCCAAGCCTGAGCTCAATCCACAGGGCTCTTACAGTGGACGAAGAAGCCAAGTCCTGCAAATGGTCCTTTTACTTCCATACACAAACACTCCATAGCATGCTTGGTGCCACTCCCCACAACCACCACATACATAATAAATAAATAAAGGTAAGGTTAAAAAAAATACTAAAAATGCCCTTTCATTTATAACTGGGGGTGACTCTAATCGTGACTTCTATAACCTTTGCACCCTAGAAGCATGCTGGTCAATAAGTACACAGCCCTCACTTTGGAGTCCACAATAAGACTCCTGGTTAGGAAAAAGACTTACACAACTGCAAAGAGCTCTACTATAATCAATTTATTTAGTCTTTTACTCACAAATACTAAAAGCAACACTAAAAAGACACTGAAAACAATAATATAAAAAAATCACAATGAACACACAGAACAACTAGACAAGGAATGGCAACAATGGGGGACGAGGAAAAGAGGCTTGAGAGGGGAAGAGTGAGACGTATGCTCAGTGTTTTAATGTAGTTTTTATAAACTCTGAAATAATATTTTGATAAACTGAATAATATTTCATGGTATGTAAATATTTCACAGGTATAATGTTACTATGTTTAATAGAAAAACAGTACCTGGGGGCTGGAGAGATGGTTCAGTGGTTAAGAGTACTTGCTGTTCCACAGAGAATACAGGTTCAGTTCCATACAGCTTCCCATAAGGTAGCTCACATAGGCACAGAGACAGCGAACATCCATACATACACACAGACAAATTACTCACATACAAATAAAATAAATGTAAAGAAAATAGTATCTGACTCATTTACTATATATGGCTTTTCATCTTCTAAGAAAGTTTTTTAGATTTTGTAGTTCAAATATTAAAATCTCTCCAGTTTTCCATTTAACTTATCCTGTACACTTTAATAACAAGTAAGTGCTAAGAATATTGTACCACACAGAAAACATCAACTTGATATAGTGCTTGCTTTGTACCAGGCACTGTTTGTCTCTATTAGTTGATTCAACTACTAAGAAATCCTCCTAAAATTCAACGAGTGTCTTGGTTTTAGTCCTTGGCCACATGAAGTACACGTTCTAGGTGCATAAAGTCAAACATAAACAAACATGTCAGACTGTGATTAAAAAGGAAAACAACAACAAACAGGTGAGCTGGAGACCAGGATGCAGACAGGTGGCTATTAATTTGAAGAGCTGAAGGAAGGAAAGCAATCTCGGAATCTACCTATGAAAGAGAAAGCCAGTAAAACAGAGGAGGGACAAACGCAAAAGCATTAGGGTAAGGAAAAGACTGGTTTGTGTGTGATAGGTTAATTGCATTAATGCCCCCCTCAATGGCTTTCTACTAGGCACAACATTTAGTCTGTAACTTTGCAAGTTGTCTTTCCCTCTGACCCTGGGCTTCTTCAGAGACTTGGTTGTTCTTGTGATATCTTGCAGCATGGTATTGGCAAACATGACCCAAGTAGAGTTTTGAAATGCAAATATGAACTACTTCTTACTATCTTGCACAACTGAACTTTGCTTGCTCTTTGGCCTCTGCTCTGCTCTGTGAACATGCCTCAGCTAGCCTATGAGCACCATGTTGTGCCACTTAAGGCTATTTAGAATAGTTACTATCTATAACCACCAACTGGTCACAGATAAACGATTCGAACTCAGCCAACATTAGTGTAATTAACAACAGCACATTTTCAAAACTGAAAATAATGGTTATTTTAAGTTCGAAGCTTTAGGACAGTTTACTATATAACAGAAAATATGCTGTACAGAAATATGCAACAGAACACATAAAGTACACCTAACAGTACCATTCCCAACAGCCAAAATGTGAAAACAGGATGGACACTACTATGCATGACTGTAATTCCAACATTTGGGAGATACAGGCAGGAAGATTAGGAGGTTAAGGCTAGCCTCAGCTATAAAACAAGTTCAAGGACAGACTGGGCTACAAAAGAGCTGAGTAGCTGAGGAAGTGGTTCAGTTGTTAAAGTGCTTGCCATGCAAGCATGAGGACCTGAACACATATCCTCAGGGAAAACAACTCAAATATGCACCTGCTAATAAATAAGTAAAATGTAATCCACTCAAATAAAATGTTATGTAATGAAAGGGAACTAAGCCATGAATATATAAATATGTACTATAATATAAACTAACCTTGAAAACATTGTACTAAGTGAAAAAAGCGGGTAAGCAAGGACTATACACTATATGATTTTAAATTGTCCATAATAGAGAACTCTATAGAGGAAGAAATAGATTAATGGATTACTTAGCTGATCAGGAACAGAAGGTATAGAGAGATTTAAAAAAAAAAAAAGATGGCCAAGAGTTTAGAGGAAATCAAACTTTAAAGTTAAATTTGATGGTGGTAAGAAAAATGAGAGGCCATCCTTCCCTGGAGCATTTAGCAGACAGGAAGCACTGTTAAAAATAACTTATTGCTAGCATTATGTTCTTTAAGTTCATACTGTAGGCATTCTTGGTGTTCCCCTTCGGAAGAATGGGATAATATGACTATAAGGGTTTATGAACTTTCTTTTGCTGCCCTGAGTGAAAAACTATCAGTCAAATAAATAACCAGCAGGATTATGCTTCTGTGACTACCAGCCATCTGGACATTTTGAAAATTTTTGAAAAAAAAAAAAACTTCAAAAATGATCACAACCAATTGCCTTACATTCCAAAAGGGCAGCCTTAATTAGCTTGAGTTGTGTGACACAGTCTGACGTAGCCCATCATCATCATCATCATCATCATCATCATCATCATCATCATCATCATCATCTTCTTCTTCTTCTTCTTTGCTGAACAAAATGTAACCCAGAAATCACTTTCAACTAGCGGAAGGGGAAACATTTCTCATGGCCTAGCAGAAAGACTACTGTAACTGGTCCTAAACACATAAGGCTTGTGACTGGCTCCAAACACAAGCCTCAGTGGCTGTTTTTCAATTGGTACTATAGAAGGCTGTTATTAGTTTAAAAATACTTCTTGATGGTTTTGATTGTGCTAAAAAGGAAGTCTGTAATGAAC